CGGTCGCCGGACGCCAAGGTACCTAGCCTATACGAGTCAGACGAGCTATACACGCATGAAAACTTATAGATGCACTGTCGTTTCTTATTGCACGTTTTATCGTAAGACTTGGCAGGCCACTTTTCATGGCTAGATTATGCGAACCTTAAAAGTTGCGAATAATTGAATTTGTGAGACCATAAGGCTGTCCTTTTCTATTTGCTTGCTTAAGCTTAATATAATACAAGTATGGTTTGACTTTTATTTACTTTCATATTTATAAGTATGAGAATCTTAAAATTATATAAGTTGTGGTAGAGAGAACGGAATTGTATTTTAATTACATTTTACACGAAAAGTTTAAAAACGCCACTAACTTCAGTTAAATAAAGTTGCTCTCGCTACTTAAGAGGAGATATATTCAAATTTTGATCGGAAAAACTGAGATTCAATTTAAACTTTCACGAGACGAAGTTACAAAGTCATATTACGTTTTATAGTAGTTAGCGTAAAATCTTCATATCGCGTGTGTTACATGGGGCGCGCGTGCGCCCACCTCCTATAGCAATTAGTTGCCTTCGAAGTTTTATACATTTAGGAGTACACGCGTGACTTATAATCAACCTCGCTGTAAAAGAACGCGAAAGGACAATAAAAGGGTGCGTACCCTTTCTAGTAAACCCTAAATCATAATCAAGAAAATAAATGGCTTGTCTTAAGCACTCCTGCCCACAAATCACAGCCGACCAATTAAATCTGAATGTTAAAACGTAAAAAGCTATCGGTTATTATGTTGTTCTTGGCGTCTATAATCGCCGAGAACAATATTGATTAATGTACCATATTACAGCTCCGTAATTAAGCTATATGTCGTCGTATACCTGGCGATTAAACTATTTTTTCTTAATTGCATAAATATTGATGCAAAAATTGTTTACTGCATTTTTTTCAATCAGAGCATTCTCCACATAACTATACGCTTAGTGAATAATGCATTAGGTTTTGTACCTGGGCTGGTTGTTTTCACTATTTCTTGTTAGTGGTGCATTTTTTTGTGTGGTAAATATCAAAAGGGTCCGACGTGACTCGGTCGTCGGTCGCGTCGTTGCCCGACAATGGCTAATCAAACGGCCGTATCTCATTCCGCGGGACCTTGCGGCCAGAGTTACGTTATTTCGATTACATTTGCGTGCTCGTGAGCGCACTTTTTTTTCTTCGATGTTTTCTCGGCGCGCCGCATTCACAGAGGTCATACCTTGATCCTTGAGTCTTTGTTACGACCGCGGAATATGAAGGCAAGTCGGAGTCTACTATTCTTGAATAAATGGTTTTCTTTTATGGAATATTGAAATATCTGCAGGCTATTCGTTGCAGTACATCAATTTAAAAGACTGATTGAGGGCGTAAATCTTGTTTGCATTTTGTGCTAGTGAGTTATCGTTCGTTACTTTATTCATGAAGCCAATTTGTTTAGAACTTGTTAACAGGATTATTTTCAACAAACGCGGATGTTATTAAAAAGGATGTACAGATAGCTATCTTAAATACCAATACAAGATTGTAAATGTCCACAAACTTGTTCTATATTTTGTGTTTTATATAAACTTATTTGTAAATAAAGAGGAACAAACAACTCAGTAACCAAACCCCGTCTGCAGGTTTCTCTGACATATGGCGAGGCTGGCGTGCTCAGTGTTGGGTTGGAGTACTCAGTAGTGGAGGCGGCGGAAGAACCTTTAGGTCAACGGCGACCCACAAGCCCTCCAAGAGGGTTACACCTTGGCGACAGTTGGCAACTGGCCGTAAAACCAATAGCCAATTCTTTATTCCTTGTCCAAGACTTAGGATAAGAAAGGCCGACCCCAAATAACTTGGAAAAGGCGAAGATAGAAGAAGAATAAACTTATTTGTAACACTAAATGTTATTTTTATTAAAATACATTTCCAGGTACTTTGGGTTTCCACAGAGATTCTATCACTTGTATACATTGAGTACAATTCTTTAAAGACTGTATATTGTCCTTTTCAATTGACATTCCTAGCATGTGTGGGTGTCCATAGGGGACATCCTATTGGAAAATATATAAACTATATTAAAACTATACTAAAGAATGTTAAGGACGGTGTTATTCGATAATACTTGCAAAGGTGTTTACATTCATTAATGGATAGAGGGGAAGTAAGTATAATGTTATGATCAATTATGATGTCACCATTTCTAAGTGCGTATTGTATCTATTTAACAAACATTATTAAACCCTTTTAGTCATCTCTTAACATTTTAAAACATAGTTCGATTGTACTTTGTTTTTACGAGTACATTGAATTAAAGAGGTCGTAATTCAATTTTACTTTTTTTAAATGTTAACAAACAAGTGAGCTTGTCTAACCTCGATCAATGAGAGTTCTCTTTTTAAATGTGTTCACGTTTAACAGACGCTCTGTAGCACTTCACACCTAAGAATTCAATTAATCTCAGCATGCACCCGCTCCGCTGTCCGCGATCGTGACTCGTAATTACTTTTTACAACAAAAAGACCAACAAACCCTTCCACGTCCAATCGTAAATAATAAAAAGAATTCTCTTAAAGTAACAAATGCTGCTAACAATAGATATAGCGAGGTGTAGGAATTTAAACTTCAAACGTAGCATAACCTATAACCAGGCTTATAAGCTTTAGAAGAGTATGTAAGGGACATTTGAACGATTTTCTCTATTAAACAACCTCAAAATTACAAAAAATTAAAATTTACATTTTTACATAATGCAAAAGTTTAGATGGATAAATGGATGAATATTTTTTAGATATTGTGACTTAAACTGCTAAACGGCTCTCGATGAAATTTGACATAGATGTAGAAGATAGTCTGGAAGAATAAAAAGGCCGCTTTCTGTTTTTTTAATTCCACACGGAAAAAGTCACGGGCATAAGCTAGTATAAAATAATTGAAGAAGTTAAGCTTGATTTTGAAGTCAATTGAATAATTTAGGGTTCAAAATCTCAAACTTCCTTCTCCAAATGCATTGAAACCAGTTTTGAATAATGAATAATCTTCATGTCATGATGTGTGAAACATGTTATGGTAGGTGTGTTTGTTTGATGATGTTTTTATTCTATTAACACTTATGCCCGTACTCAATCATACGGCGCCTCAAAACTACTCGATGTCATCGGCAGACAGCTTGTTGCTCGGGTGCCGTGACGATGACTTGGTAAATGTGATGATGATAATGTGATGTATGCATTTAAATGATATCATTGACAATATAATAAATCTTTCTCGCTTGTTGGAAAACAAAAGAAGGAACTATGTTATTCTGATACAAACAATATCTAATCTATAGTCAAACAAGAATGTCTAGCCCGATGAGAGGCGCATGTATGGGTTTTGACAATAAAGATTTGAAACCCACATGGACATAGAAAAAAGCGAGGGCGCTAGTGAACTATTATGATTTAGTTACACTAAGGCTATCAGGTCAAATAGTCAGTTTATACTCATAATTAATACAGAACATGCAGCATTAATAGAAATCTTTAAGACCAACTTTTTCAAGATTGATCAAGAGGTTTTCAAATTTGCCTGCGTGTTTTTGATTGGGATAAGGAATTCTAACACAAATTACCATAGATTTCAGAACATAACTTCTGGCTTGATACTTTTTATTTGTTAAGTTTTATCCTACTAAATATATGTAAGGTCTCAAATAGACGAGGTCGATCAAACAACTGGAACAGGATAAATTTCGTAATGTACATTTACACACGTTTGCAAGCCTCTCGGAAGTCCGATACGCCGCTCAACTGTTAGATTTACTATGCTTTTCAATATCGTTCTCAGACACGTTGCTCTCCTCACGACTCCTTCAACACGGATCTCGTAATGTAATTGTAGACTTTGAATTCCTTCAAAGTGATTTTAAAACAACAATTCAACAAGTTATTCTACGATCTGTCTCAAGAACATAACAGACAGATTATATAAAAGTGCATAAGTACAAAACAATTGACTATGGTGTGAGCATCGACGTCTTTTGTATAACTAAAATTGTTAGAAATTGACAATTCGTGTAAGAGAACAACACCTAGTTCCATACCTTACATGCACAGAAGCAAGTAACCAGGAACTAATAACACACCGTTCTGAGTTATGTGCTTTATGGTTCATTATAAATGAATATCACAAACACATTCAATACGCTCGAACATAACTCTTATGATAAAAGGGAGCTGATTATTCATAGTACAATAAGTTAAATTGGCGCCGGGCAGTGCCAAGAATCGTATATCGCTTACTATTGTTTGTTCAAACCAGTTTGTACAACTAAAGTCGGAGTTGTTCGGAGCACGGATCGCTAGGACTATGGGATAAATCCTGTTCGAAAGTAACAATGTTTTGTTACATCGCCTATTAACAGTGATCGATGCAATGCTTTCAAAGTCTTTATCGTAGGGAATAGATCAGCGAAAGCGATAGACATTGTTCGTGTATTGATATGGTCAGATCGCATACAACCTACCCTTATGTGTGAACGGAAAATAAAACAACGAAGATCATAATCTGTCTTGAGACGTAATTGAATAATGTATATATTTATGGAACACCATCGTACGCCCGTGCGAATGACTGAATTCCAATTGAATTCAATTTTTTTCTTTTTAAATAAATAATATTTCTATGACCAAGTATTTTTGTTAGAGTAAGGTTTTGTTTTAATATAACATTCACATGTCAACTTTAAATGTGATAAATTCATTTACAAATTCTGTTTAACAAAATATTCACTTACGTACTATTTATTTTTAGTGTTTCTCGTTTTAGAATAATCACATTATTATACAAAAATATTTAGAATTTAAACTCAAGCTGCGATGAAATAAATTATCATCCTACACAAACACATAAAAGGCCATGTTTAGTTTAGTTCCTGTTCCCTTTAT